AAGGGGTTACACAAGCTCCGTGTGACTACTCTCTAGGGCTTAGGGTACAGGCAGCCCACTGACACACTCAATCTTTCTGTGAAAGAAGCCTATTAGTTTATCTTCATAGATGTGGCCTTAACGGAAGGCTTCTGATTAAATTCACATCTAAGGGCAGACTGTAATTCTCTCCAGGGACCTCAGGATCTAGGCATTATCTTCACGCTCCTTCTGCTTTGATCTAGGTCACCAGTATCTCCCAGAGATGAGATTATACACACAGCTGGTACCCTAGCTTTTGTGGTTTCCATCCTCTGTCTGCCTGGCTCTGGCAGCCAATGCATCTTATACTCAGAGGTCCTGTAGCACTATGACAAGTGGGGAAATAGTTCTCAGACAGTCATTCCCCTCAGAGCACAGCACAGAGGCAGCAGACTGAAACATATCCTCAATCTTTCTGTGAAAGAGGCCTACTTTATCTTACATCTTCAGCCTCAGGGACAGGATTCTTACTTGACACACTTTTAGAGGCATACTGAAATCCTTTTCGAAGACCACAGAACTCAGCAGGTGCCATCTTTGCCCTTTCCTTCTGCCAGATTCTAAGCTGTCCCAAAGAATGTTACCTGCCATATCAGTAAACAAAGGATGTTGCAGCCATCAAGACATCAGCTAGTGCAGCCTCCTCTGCCCCCTCCACCTATGGGTGCACCCTGAGGGGATTCAGGATGAGAGAAAACAGGATACTGGACTTAGATAGTTAAGGTATGTATCAAAGAAATTATTTCTAGAAGCCCAGCACTTGCTTCTTCTCACACATGGACGAGTGCTATGCTCATTAACTTGAGATGTCTGGTTTTTAATTCACAGTAATCCTCTGATGCTCAGACTGTTTGCTGCTTTTGTAAAAACACCTGTGTATCCTGGCTCTTCCCTTACCTTGAAGGAACAGTTCCTTGGAGCTATCTCAGAGACTGTCCCCTGGGCAAAAGACCCTAGTATGCCTGCTCAAACACCCACCCCCCAAAAATCCCACATAATTCTCAACTTTCAGGATGTGATTTGTTGTTGTTGTTGTTGACATGGTATCTCCCAGAAAAGAGCTTGTGCACACATCTGGTACCCTGATTTTTAAGGCTGCTGCCCAAAGGACATGTCCCTTGATATCCTGGCTCTGGTGGCCAGTATGGCTTGTGTTCACAGGTTTAACAGGTCATTGATGGTGGTGTAGTCGCTAAGTCATGTCTGACTCTTGCGACCCCATGGACCATAGCCTGCTAGCCTCCTCTGTCCATGAGATTCTCCAGGCAAGAATACTGCAGTGGTTGCCATTTCCTTCCCCGGGGTTCAACAGGGTGTTTGAGAATTGTTTCTTTGCTCAACAGGGTGGCAGCAAATAAAGAAAAACTCTCAACTGGTTATCACACCAGGTCTCAGTATAGAGGGGGCAGACAGAAATCCACATCTCAAAGTCTTCTCATGAAAGAGGTATATTTACATACCTTATAAGCTATTGGCTGAGGGTCCAGCTTCAAATCAGACTAACCCTGTATTTTGACTGGCAGGTTTTGGCACATCCACAACTAGGAGCCACTTAAAGTAAACTAAGATGCTTGGACAATCACAAAGATCTGAGAGACAACCAAGACCTAGGGCAAGGCTGAAACATACTGATTATCACTTACATGAAGCCACTCCTTCAAGCCTATGAGAGGCAACTTTCTTATCTAATGCATGAAAGCCAACAGAGTGTTAGGAAAATGAAGAAACAGAAGAATATTTTCCAGATGAAAGAAAAAGATAAAACCTTAGAAAAAGACCTTAATGAAATGGAGGTAACTGATTTACCTTATACCTTACAAAATAACAGACAAAATAATTGATCACTGAGGTCAGGAGATCAACACATGAACAAAGTGAGAATTTCAACAAAGAAACATAAATAACGGAAAATACCAAACAGAAATCAGAGCTTAAGAATACAATAACTGGACCTAAAAATACAATAGAAAGCTTCAACAGAAGACCAGAGTAAGGTGAAGAAATGATCAGAAGACTGAAAATAGGGAAAGGAACCTATCCAATCAGAGTAGCAAAAAAAGATAAAGGAATGAAAAAGAGTGAAAATACAAAAATACAGTAAAGGACTTAAGGGACATTACCAAGTGGACCAATATTCGCATTACAGGAGTCCAAAAAGGAATAGGAAAATTAACAAGGGCAGAAAAATGACTTGGAAAAAAAAATAGCCAATAACTTCCCTAACATGGGAATGGAAACAGCCTTCCAAACAGAAGAAGACAATACAGTTCCCAGTAAGATGAATCCAAAGAGACTCATAAAGACATTAACTTATCAAAAGTTAAAAACAAGGAGAGAATCTTAGAAGCAGCAAGAGAAAAACAACTTGTTACATACAAGGGAACCCTCATTGAGACCAGCAGCAGGTTTTTCACCATAAACTTTTCAGTCTGGTTCAGTGCCATGATCTGTTTTCTGAATGTTGAGTTTTAAGCCAACTTTTTCACTCTCCTCTTTCACTTTCATCAAGAGGCTCTTTAGTTCTTCTTCGCTTTCTACCATAAGGGTGGTGTCATCTGCATATCTGAGGTTATTGATATTTCCCCTGGCAATCTTCATTCCAGCTTGTGCTTCATCTAGCCCGGCATTTTGCATGATGTACTCTGCATAGAAGTTAAATAAGCAGGGTGACAATGTACAGCCTTGATGTACTCTTTTCCAATTTGGAATCAGTCCGTTTTTCCAAGTTTGGCTCTAATTTTGCTTCTTGACCTGCATACAGGTTTCCCAGGAGACAGATAAAATGGTCTGATATTCCCATCCCTTTAAAAATTTTCCACAGTTGATTGTGAACTACAGTCAAGGGCTTTAGTGTACTCAAGGAAGCAGAAGTAGATGTTTTTCTGGAATTTCCTTGCCTTCTCTGTGATCTAGCAAATGTTGGAAATCTGATCTCTTGTTCCTTTGCCTTTCCTAAATCCAGCTTGTACACCTGGAAGTTCTAAGTTCACATACTGCTGAAGCCTAGCTTGAAGGATTTTGAGGATTATTTTGCTAGCATGTGACATGAATGCAACTGTATAGTAGTTTGAACATTCTTTTAGGTGGTAGGTCGGGGTTTTTTTTGAGATTTTTCTTGCTTCCTGATGAAGTCCTGTATTGTGGTAAACTTCCCTCTCAGAACTGACATTTTAGTTATATGTTTTACTGTGAGTCTGTTTGAATTCATCTTATTTGGAACCCTCTTCACTTCCTGTCCCTGAACATCTATTTCCTTCTTTAGTTCTGGGAATTTTTCAGCCATAGTATCTTCAAATACATTTTCATTGGCCTCCTCTCTCTCCTCTTCTGGCAGCCCTGTGATGTGAACATTGACACCCTTAACGTCATACTAGAGATCTCATAGATTGCATTCATTTTTTTCTTCATTTGTTTTTCTGTTGCTCTGATTTAGTGATTTCCATTATACTATATCCAGATCATTTATGCATTCTCCATCATTTAGTCTGCTATTCATTCCTTCTAGTTTTCTTTTTTATCTTAGATACTGAATTATCTTTTTTTTATTGAATTTTTAAATATTTTCTAGATCCTTGTTAAAATGACCAATGTTTAGGTGAATTATTTTCCCTAATTCAGTTAAGTTTTATTACTGGTGTTTTGAATTATTTATCTGTTAAATTGTTTACTTGTTTCATTATTTTTTCAGAGCCTTTCTCTTGCTCTTTCAATTGAGAGTCATTTCTCTGCCTTTGTATTTCATTTAACTTTCTATGCCTCTATGAATTTAGGTGAAATATTTGCCTACTGTGGTCTTGAAGGGGTATTTCTTATGTGGGAGCATCCGTATGCAGACTGCATGTGCCCAATGTCTTTGGTGGGATGACTGGATTGGATGTGGATGCTAGGCATGTCTTTCTTCAGGTTGTGCTGGAAGTGATCACCTTGGAAGGGGGTGGTGCTAAGGACAGAGGCACCAGAGCCTGCTCAGGGTTCCAGGGCCTGGACTTCCTCTCTGAAGCAGGACTTCCTCTCAGCTCAGCGGCCATCACTGCCGTGTCAGGGGCAGGGTCTGATCCCAAGCAGTAGAAGCTCTGGGGGTTATTTTTTCATTGTCATTTATGTCAAGCTAATTTCTTATTTTCTTTTTTATCTCACCATCAGCTCATTGGTTCTTTAGTAGCACATTTTAAAAAATTTTTAATTGAAGGATAATTGCTTTATAATCTTATGTTAATTTCTTTAATGCAACCATGTAAATCAGCCATAAATAAATATATATATATATATATATATATGCCCCCCCGCCACCAGAGGTTTCCTCCCACTCCCTCATCCCAGCCCTCTAGGTCATCACAGAGCACCAGGCTGGACTCCCTGTTTTATATACAGCACATGTTTCAGTCTAAACATAATCATTTTTTCTCATCATTCTTTCTGTGATTTCTCAATTAGTAATGTTGTATACTGAAAAGATGTTTGAAATATTAATAATTACTATCCTGTTACATTTATTGAGGCTGGTTTCATGTCTTAGTATATGGTCCATCCTAGAGAATGTTTCATGCACTCTTAAATAGAACGTGTATTCTTTTGTGAATGAATGATTCATACACCCTTTTAATGAGCAGGTATTATGACTTAAGTAACCAATGTTTATATAAGTTTCAGTATTCTTAAATATATAACTATATTCACCTTTAGCACAATTAAACCTGTAAAGAAATTTATCTTGGGATAAATTTTATAGAATTTACAGAAAGAACTTTAAATGCATCTATATTGGTTTCAAATAAGGCACATTACAGTTTCTAAAATGTTGTTAATTTTATTTCTAGATCTAAGCCATACTTTTCCCAAAGTAAAAAAGAAAATGTAAAAAGGTTACCCCAAACAGAAATTTTTCAGAAAGAGCTAACCAAAATTAATTTCAAATACTAAGATATGACATGATAATACAACTCACTTAATTGGAAAGAAAATGTAAGATTATACTTTACCTCACCAGCTCCAAAGTCCCATGATTGCTCAGAATGCACTTCTTCCAAAGGGATATTACCACTAAGGGTTATAAATAAGACAGTATTAGAATGTGCTTTAATCCCTCTGAAATTATTGTTCTAAATTATGACTCCCAAAGTTGATTANTACAATTACTTGTCTTCTGGTTTGTTGAAACAATAGGTCAGACAACATTTGCCACAGTAATGTCTGTCGAAGTGACTGGCCATAAAAACTCCAGCACCACATTCATCTGAGGGACACTCCCGGCGAAGGCGACTGATTTTGCCATTCTCATCCACCTTATAGTATTTCAGAACAGCCAATTTAACCTTCTTTCTCTTATGCTTGTTCTTCTTGGGAGTGGTGTAAGACTTCTTCCTTTTCTTAGCACCACCACGAAGTCTCAAGTTTTAACATTCTATTTTTCATTCACGAGACTGAATATTTGGAAGTTTTTACAATGAAGAACCTAAGTTGATTTTATTAAATGGTGAATCTCTTTTTTAATTAATTTGTGCCAGTCCCATAAAAATGGCATCTAATATTCTTTGTATTAATATTTTACATATTTCTTAAGAAAGTATTCTCAAAATAAAAGTCTATTCTAATTCATGATTTTTAATTATCAAGGCTGAAAATAAATAATAAATAAATAAATCATAACTATTACCAAGAAAGTTAAGCTTATTCTGAACCAAGTTTTCTTTAATTATCTATAATATCAGTCCTATAAATTGTTGATATGCTTGCTTATGCTATTAACCTTTGACTTCTATTACTCCCTCATATGAGTCTATATTAACCAAGCAAATTTCCCATGGAGAGCTGCCAAAATGTAGAAAATATGCTTATCATGCCAGTCAGCATTCCTATATATGTCACCCTTCTATTTCTTATTATAAATTAATAAACTGACATTCTGGAGGGTAAATAAACTTGCTGAACACATAAATCAGTTTTTTCAAATTAACTAACGCTATAAGGAGTTAACTAACACAACTAACACTAGAAGGAGATCCAACCAGTCCATCCTAAAGGAGATCAGTCCTGAATATTCATTGCAAGGACTGATGCTGAAGCCGAAACTCCAATACTTCGGCCACCTGGTGTGAAGAACTGACTCACTAGAAAAGACCCTGATGCTGGTAAAGATTGAAGGCAGGAGGAGAAGGGGATGACGGAGGATGAGATGGTGGGATGGCATCACTGACTCAATGGACATGAGTTTGAGTAAGCTCCGGGAGTTGGTGATGGACAGGGAAGCCTGGCATGCTACAGTCCATGGGGTTGCAAAGAGTCAGGACACGACTGAATGACTGAACTGAACTGAACACCATGACTTAGATATTTTTGCACTGATTAATATGAGGACCAAATTATCAACTAGGGTGATATTACCAAGGTTCTGACAACTGATTTTTTAAAAATATTTATTTATTTGGCTGCACCAGGTCTTTAGTTGCAGCAAGCAAACTCTTAGTTGTTGTATGTGGGATCTAGTCCCCTGAGGAGGAATTGAATCCGGACCCCTGCATTGGGAGCATTGAATCTTAGCCACTGGACCACCAGGGAAGTCCCTGCCAATTGATTTCTAAGTCCAGTCTGCCCACCCTAAGACAGCAATATGTCTACTTCACTTTGTATCCTTCAAAATGCATTATTTTAGACCCCAGTTTGCATTGCTCAGATTCATCTAAAAACTTACATATGGTTCACTGAATATTTCTGTATTTTTTCCTGGTATATCTTCTTTTGGTAATCACTTTCAAATTTTCCTTTAAAAATAAAATTATGCATTGAAATAAAACTTTAGCATGACCCATATAAAGGGATGCCACTGGTCTACAATGTCATATAATGTCATCCTATTTTTAATTTCATATTCCTCCAAACACACACACACACACACACACACACACATATGCATTAAAACTAAAAACAAAAATAATCCAACAGACAATTAAATTTTTCATATATAACACCAACCTTTTTTATTAGAGCTGGCTGAATAAAAATCTTTCTCAAAAGATGTACTAAAATTATTTCTTTCATTATTCTTGTACACTTTCTGGCAAATCTTGTTTGGCTGACACTTTTCTGAACGACTTGATATTTTAAAAGTAGAATTACTAAAACCCAACTCTAGATCTGTAAAGATACTTTTAATGTGGTTACCAGTGAAATGGTTTTTATGAGAATCAATGACCACACACGTATCTCGTGTATTATCATAGCCATACTTGTCAAAGGTTTTCTTTATCTTCTGTTGGTCTATGTTTAATAAATTGATCATATTTTCACTAATACAAGAGTCACAATTATCTGATAGAAGGGCAGAGGTTTGTTGGTTCATATCTTCATTTGAAAACTTCTTTTTATTTTCTTTCCAAATATGTCGTAATGAGTTCTTTTCAGTAATGAAGTCTGTCTGTCTTCTCTCATCCATGCTTCTACAATCTTCACCTACAACTACAGTAGGTGTCCTTGTAAGGAAGTTTCTAGTTCCTGGACTTTAGGATAAATAAATAAAATATTTAGCAAGAAAAGAACAGGGCATTCTCATTCAGAAACACCTGAAGCTAAACTCTTACATAATATATTGAGTAGCTATTAACATTTAAGCAGACCGTGTTTACATTTTTAAAATTTAAATAAATGATATTGCCTTGAGTGGAAATTTGTTTAATATGCTATCCTAGTATCTTAGTGAGTATAAAAATAATCTACACTTAATTTTGTACTTCAACATGAAATACTAGTATTTAGTTCAACTTATATTAACAAAACAAAGGATGACTAATCCCATNATATATAAAAATTAAAAAAAAAAGAAAGAAAGAGTTACAGATGTATAGAACAGATTTTTGAACTCTGTGGGAGAAGGCCAGGGTGGGATGATCTGAGAGAATAGCATTGAAACATGTATATTATCGACTGTGAAACAGATCGCCAGTCCAGGTTTGTTGCATGAGACAAGTGCTTAGGGCTTGTGCATTAGGATGACCCAGAGGGATGGAATGGGGAGGGAGGTGGGAGGGGGGTTCAGGATGGGGAACACGTGTAAATCCATGGCTGATTCATATCATTGTATGGCAAAAACCACTACAATATTGTAAAGTAATTAGCCTCCAACTAATATAAATAAATGAAAAAAAAATCTACCTGTGAATAATTTTGGAAGCCTTCCATAAAAATTTTAAAAAAATTATTAGCAGCTGATTTAGTGCATTTATGGGGACATGGGCGATTTCAATATATCATCACATTGATTTTTCCATATAACCATGAAGGAAAGATGCTATCACTAGTCTAGATGAGGTAGACGAAATGTCAAAAGATATAAATAAGTTAGCTACAGTCTCATGACTAATAAATAAGAGATCTACTTTTCAAAATAAGTTTGACACTAAGATATAATATCTGTATTTTTAACAATTTATTTTAAAACCTATATTTGCAAACAAAACACATCTCTGCTAAACTGTCTCTAGTTGAGTGAGTCAGATGAAGGGGATTCATCACCTTGTCAGTTCTGTCTCCTTTATTGTCAAAACTTCTCTTAAATATTGACCAGGAATGCACTTTTTAACATTTCTCTAATTTCTCCAGAGTTATCTATAGAAGAACCCTGGACAAAACTGATCTTATGCCTCTTTTGCATCCAGTTTTTGGGGATGATTTAGACTAAACTTCAGTCATTATCATTTAGACTAAAATTTAAAACACCCAGTTCTGAATAATTTCTTCTTACATGAGGAGGTTTCTAGGCTCTTTCAATTCCCTAGCCACTGTCAGTTCAGTTCAGTCACTCAGCTGTGTCCGATTCTTTGCAACCCCATAGACTGCAGCACGCCAAGCTTCCCTGTCCATCACCAAATCCCAGAGCTTATTCAAACTCATGTCCATTGAGTTGGTGATGCCATCCAACCATTTCATCCTCTGTGATCCCCTTCTCCTCCTGCTTCAATCTTTACCAGCATCAGGGTCTTTTCAAATGAGTCCATTCTTCACATCAGGTGGCCAAAGTACTGGAGTTTCAGCATCAACATCAGTCCTTCCAATGAATATTCAGGATTGATTTCCTTTAGCATCAACTGGTTGGATCTCCTTGCAGTCCACGGGACTCTCAAGAGTCTTCTTTAATACCACAGTTCAAAAGCATCAATTCTTCAACACAGCTTTCTTCATAGTCCAACTCTCACATCCGTACATGATTACTGGAAAAACCATAGCTTTACTAGACAGACCTTTGTTGGCAAAGTAATGCCTCTGCTTTTTAGGTCCATGAATCAAGGTAAACTGGAAGTGGTCAAACAGGAAATGCAAAGAGCGAACATCAACATTTTAGGAATCAGGGAACTAAAATGGATTGGAATGGGTGAATTTAACTCAGATGACCATTATATCTATTACTGTGGGCAAGAAGAAATGGAGCAGCCCTCATAGTCCACAAAAGAGTCCAAAANTACAGTCAGCTAAAACAAGACCAGGAGCTGACTGTGGTTCAGATCATGAACTTCTTATTGCAAAATTTAGACTGAAATGGAAGAAAGTATGGAAAACCACTAGAACATTCAGGTATGACCTAACTCAAATCCCTTATGATTATACAGTGGAAGTGACAAATAGATTAAGAGATTAGATCTGATAAGAGTGCCTGAAGAACTATGGATGGAAGTTCATGACAGTGTACAGTAGGTGGTGATCAAAATCAACCCCAAGAAAAAGAAATGCAAAAGGGCAAAATGGTTGTCTGAGAAGGCCTTACAAATAGCTGAGAAAAGAGAAGCAAAAGGCAAAAGAAAAAAAGGAAAGATATTCCCATTTGAATGCAGAGTTCCAAAGAATAGCAAGGAGAGATAAGAAAGCCCTCCTCAGTGATCAATGCAAAGAAATAGAGGAAAATAATAGAATGGGAAATATTAGAGATCTCATCAAGAAAATTAGAGATACCTAGAGAATATTTCATGCAAAGATGGGCACAATAAAGGACAGCAATGGTATGGACCTAATAGAAGCAGAGGATATTAAGAAGAGGTGGCAAGAATACACAGAAGAACCATACAAAAGAGATCTTCATGACCCAGATAATCACGATGGTGTGATCACTTACCTACAACCAGACATTGTAGAATGCAAAGCCAAATGGGCCTTAGAAAGAAGCATCATTACAAACAAAGCTAGAGGAGGTGATAGAATTCCAGTTGATCTATTTCAAGTCCTAAAAGGTGATGGTGTGAAAGTGCTGCACTCAATATGCCAGCAAATATGGAAAACTCAGCAGTGGCCATAGGACTGGAAAAGGTCAGTTTTCATTCCAATCCCAAAGAAAGACCTTGCCAAAGAATGCTCAAATTAGTCACTGTAACAAGAGCAATAATAGAAGCTCTATTTACACATTTTTAAGGCTTCCCAGGTGGCACTGGAAAAAAAAAGATCTGCTTCACTGACTGCAGTAAAGCCTTTGACTGTGTGGATCACAACAAACGGTGGAAAATTAATAAAGTGATAGGAATACCAGACAGCACCTAACCTGACTCCTGAGAAACCTGTATGCAGGACAGAAAGCAACAATTAAAACTGCACATGGAAAAATGAACTGGTTGAAAACTGGGAAGGAGTATGTCAAGGCTGTATATTGTCACTCTGCTTATTTAACTTACATGCATAGTAGTATATCACATGAAATGCAGGACTGGGGGACTCATAAGCTGGAGTCAAGATTGCCTGGAGAAGTATCAACAATCTCAGATATGCAGATTAAACCACTTTAATGGCAGAAAATGAAGAGGAACTAAAGAGCCTCTTGACAAAGGTGAAAATGTAAGTGGAAATGCTGGCTTAAACATCAACATTCAAACATGAAGATCATGGCATCCAGTCCTATCACTTCATGGCAAATAGATATGGAAAAAGTAGAAACAGTGTCAGATTTCATTTTCCTGGGCTTCAAAATCAATGTGGCTAGTGACTGCAGCCACAGAATTAGAAGATGCTTGCTCCTTGGAAAAAAACCTATGACAAATCTAGACAGTATATTAAAAACCAGAGACATCACTTTGCCAAGAAAGGTCAGTCTAGTGAAAGTCATGGTTTTTCCAGTAGTCACGTATGAATGCGAGAATTGGACCATAAAGAAAGCTGAGTGCCAAAGAATTGATGCTTTCAAACTATGGTGCTAGAGAGGACTCTTGAGAGTCCTCTGGTCTGTAAGGAGATTAAACCAGTCAGTTCTAAAGGAAATCAACCCTGAATATTTATTGGAAAGACTGGTGCTTAAGCTGATGGTCCAATACTTTGGCCACCTGATGCAAGGAGCCAACTCATTGGAAAAGACCCTGATGTTGGGAAAGACTGAGGGCAAGAGGAAAAGGGGACGGCAGAGAATGAGTGGATTTGATGGCATTACTGACTCAATGGATATGAGTCTGAGCAAACTCTGGGAGACAGTGAAGGACAAGGAAGCCTGGGGTGCTGCAGTTCATGAGGTCACAAACAGTTGGACACGACTTGGCAACTGAACAACAACAACAAGGTGGCGCTAGTGGTAAAGAATCCCCCGGCCAGCATAGGAGACATGAGAAATGGGGGTTCGGTCCCTGGGTGGGGAAGATCCCCTAGAGGAGGAAATGGCACCCCACTCCAGTACTTTTACTGGAAGAATACCATGAACAGAGGAGCCTGGCAGGCTACAGTCCATTGGGTCACAAAAGTCAGATGTGACTAAGTATCTGCGCAAACATCAGGGCAGATATCAGTGGAATAGAAAGCAAACAAAAACAATAATAGAGAAAATTGATAAAACTGAAAATTTAGGAAATAAAATTAGCAAAAATTTAGGTACACTAATCAAGGAAAAAAAGTAGAAAAGACACATATCTGGAATTAAAGAAGGGATATCAACACTTTTACAGAAATTAAAGTGACTACAGGAATAGCGTAAACAACTATATAATAACAATATAACTTAGATGAAATGGATGAAATCCTATAAAAACACACATTATGACAAAGAAATTAAAAGGAAATCTAAAAATCTGAGTAAATCTGTAACAAGCAAAAAACAAAAAAGAATTATTAGTTAAAAGTTTTCTAAGAAAAGCCCAGGTGCAGAAACATTTAAAGAAAAAATAACCACACCCCAGTGGCTCAGTGGTAAATAATGTGCTTGCAATTCAGAGATGCAGGAGACCTGGGTTGATCCCTTGGTTGGGAAGATTCCCTGGAGGAGGACATGGCAACCCACTCCAGTATTCTTGCCTGGAGAATACCATGGACAGAGGAGCCTGGCGGGCCACAGTCCATAGGTCACAAAGAGTCGAACACGGCTAAAGTGACTTAGCATGCACACAACCAGCCTCCACAAATTAATCCATTAAATAGAGGCAGAAACATTTTCCAACTTGTGCTATGAAGCCAGTATCATTACTCTGGTACCAAAGCCAGACAAAGACATTATAAGTAAAGAAAAATTCAGACCAATATTCCCCATGAAAACAGATGCACGCAG